GTCATAGTGGTGTTTAGCTATAGTAGTTTCATCGTGGCCTTCTGAAATAGCTTCTACTAGTCAGAAGTAAGAGTAGTCTATGTTACTTTCCATTATAATTAAATTCATATTTGATAAGTTGTTGTTTATTGGAGAAAATTTAGAGAGAATAGGTATGGATGGATAATAAATATATGCTAATATTTGTGAAGAAAAATATTTAGGTGAAGATTGAGGTTTGTGTGGTAAATGTATATAGTATTCACTATAATCAATTTTAATTGATATTGTAAATACATAGTTAAAATTGTTTAATTGTGTATAATTGTAATGATGAATGTGTTTTAAGAAGGAGCTAAGTGTTTGAAGGTGTGGAAGTAGAGGTAAATTCAACCCTGCTAACCACACATTGTAGCATGAGTCTGGATCATATAGTGTATTGTAAGCTAAGTCTTGGAGTTCTTCCTTGATATGAGATGATGAAATGGAGTTCAAGGAAGTAGAAGATTCTTTTGTAGATTCGCTCACCGTATGCTCGGCTTGCATAGCTGCGCAGGATACCATAGCCTGTCCTATACATTGGGTCTGGCTGTCATTAACCTGGTCCTCCACATAAATAAACTTAACCACCTGTCCACTTACATCATTCTCTTCTAAGAATGGTCTACTAAGTATAGAGGAATTCATTATCTTAGAAGCAGTGGCATTGCTGAGTAGTATTTAAAATTAAAGTTTAAAGGATTTGTTAAAGATTATATTATGGTTTAGGACATGTAAAGAGATGTAATATATCTTTAAGAGTTTGACAATAGATACAATTTGAAGTAGTATATAAGAGTGAATATTGTAAATTAAGGTTTTGCATAGTAAGTAAGTTGTTATTAATAATTTTAAGATGAAAAGTATAGAATTTTTGATCATTATTTTTTTTTTACTTAAGTAGTTATATTGGTAAACTTTTATTAAAGAAAGATTAACACTTTTGCTAATACTACAAGCTTAATTTCTTAGTCCCAACTTTCTCAGCTGCTTCTTTAAGTGCCCAGAAGTAACCTATCACACTAGGCAGTAACAAGTTACTATCTGAAAGGTTATTCCCGACCACCACCCTACAATAGAGTATTACCAAACTAATAACACTTCTTGTAAGAAAGTGAAAAAAAGAAAAAAAACACTGAACTAAACTAAAAAAGATTACAGAAAGAAAAAGAAAAAATAAAAATATCAGGAGCATACCTTATTCATAACCATTTCAGTATGGTTACTAACATTTTAAACCTGTGCTAAGGATCTAACTACACTTTAAACTATGCTAAAGAGGTAAAAATTCTATATACATGATTCTAGGAATTACTATATATCTTTAATTTACTATAATTCTCTAACTTAAATCCTTCTTCGTTTCTTCATTACACTATATATTAGGCCATATATGTAATTGTTATGTTCTTATTACATCATGTCACAACACATAACTGTCTGAAAAAGAAAGAGATAAACAATGCCAATCTTTTGTAGAAGGGAGCCAAATTCTCTACTTTTAGATAAAAAAAAATGAAATTTATGAAAAAGGTCGATGAATATGATATGTAAAGAGCCAAACTAAAGAGTGTTTTTAGTTGTTTGTTCTGTTTTCAAGCTGTTAATAACCTTTAACTAGAGTTTTCTCTATTGTTTTTAGAATTTCCTTTTGGTTTAATACTAAATATATTGAGAAGTCTGCCCATAGCAAAGTTTGATCTCAATGCAACCTACCAAAAGAGTTACCTGCACCTCAGTTATTTTATGTACTTCTAGTTCATTAGCAACAATCTGCTTTATATATTAGAACAGAATCAAAGATTTTATCTACTTGAAAGTATAACTCTTCAAACTGTTTTGGTGCTAGTTTGGTTTTTTTGATCATTATTTAAAGAATTGATAATGTTAACATTTGTTAATCATTTAATAGAGAATGGGTTTTGGAAGGATTTAAGTTGTAACCAAGAGAGAAATGATTATATAGTAATTGTGTTTTGTAGAAATAGTCAGGTTTTAGTAGGTATTGTGTAATTATGCCATATAAAATAATTAGTAAGTAATGTAAAATTGAATTTAATTAAGTGTTTAGAGGTACCTTGTTTAGCTAAAAGATCAGCTTAATTATGAAAAGAATTATTAGAGTGTGATTTAATTTTGTAAAAGAAGGTTTTGAGAGATTTTGTTTAAATAAAATAGTGAATAATAAATAAAATATTCCAGTTTTTAATATGTAAAAATTTGTGTAAAGAAGGAAATAATTAAATGTTTTTTAGAGCTGATAAATTATTAAAATGTATATTACTTTGTAAGTTTATTAGGATGATAAGTAGAAGATAGACAATTGCTTCAAGTTCTGCTCGAATAGAGTCAGAATATGAAGATATTGCACAGTTAAATTTAATTTGAATATTATATAGATAATTATTCAAATTTTTGTCATTAGTGAGTTTTGAACTTACTATTTACATTTTAGGGTGTTGACTAGGGATGTAAACTTAATTAAAATTATTTGGTATTATAAAATCAAAAATCACAAAACAATAATTTTTTAATATATTTAATTACTAGATTTATTGCAAAAAACGAAAAATAATTATTGCATTATTTATGCTAAATGTATTGTAAAATATGATAAATAATTTTATCATTATATTTATTATATTATACCGCTAATACTCCACAATGATAGCAATAAATTCTTTATATAATAAAGTTTTGCACCACATTACTAATCTAATTGCAACTCTAATTCACGCCACATTACTAATCTAATTGCAACTCTAATTCACTATTTGCTTCAAACATCCTAGTTATTAAATCATCTGTACTATAATTAAACGAATTTGAATTTTTTATATTACTATTATGTAACCTATTAACTTTCAATTGACCATTAGTTTCAATTAATAAATTTGTAATATTGATAACTTCCAAAATCGTAAGAGTATCAGTTTGTTCAATAACTTCTGATGAAGCAATTTCTTGATCATTTGATAGAGAAAGCCCTTGAAGGTTTGATGGTAGAAATTCTTGAATATTTAAGGATGAAAGTTTTTGAATGTTTGTTGGTGAAAGTTCCTGAATATTCGGCGATAAAAGTTCTTGATTTGAATAGAGTAAAAATTCGTCAATATCTGAAATTACAGTCTCATTTACTGAATTTGTTAGTTCCTGTTGAGTTAAATCTTTTCCATAATAAACCAATTCCTTTTTAATATTTGTTAAATAATAAGATTGAATTTTTGCCATTGACTCAACATTATGAATATCAAGCCTATATCGATTATCTCCATAAATCCACCCTAATATAGAAAAGTTCCTTTTGCATCCAGCTTGAGAAGGCATTATTGAAAATAGTTTAGTTGCAAGTTTAACTAAGAGTTGATCATCATTATCAAATGTAAGCCATCAATTAAGAGGTGTTTCACTTTCTTTTTTATATTCCATATCAAAGGGATCTTCATTTCATTTATATTTTCTAAGATCAGCTAATAAATTTAAGCATGAATACTCATCATTTCCCAGAGCTTTCCAACAATTAGCGGCAACTTCACAAATCTGTCTGAATGTTCCTGTTTTTAATCCTAAGCTATGTAACCAGAATGCAAAAAATACCCAAGTAAATATATATCAGAATCGAATTCCTTATATCTACAATTAAAAATAGTAATAGCATTATTTTTAAGAATATTTTCATTAGATATTCAACTAATTGCAATTGCTAATTTTATGTATTCAATATAACAATCAGCTATTGTTGCAGTTTTTGATTCCACAAGATTAATGGCTTCTTTAATTGGCTTAAAGATCTCAGACACTATTTTGCACAATTGAAATAATGTTTCATCTTCGATGTAATTTGATACATTTTCATTAGTTAGTACAATGGAATATTCACGTTTAATCTATAGTATATAAATAATAAAAGTTATATATTATATATTAAATAATATCAATAATTATAAATTAAAATATTCAGTCAAATATTGGGCAAGCACGTAGTAAAGAATCTGTTGCATTCCAAAGTGAACACCAACGTGTTTTACTATACAATTTTAAAGTACTACCCTTAATTTGTAAGTTTGTCAATCCTTTCCTTAAAATAGCATTTGTGTGATGACTTTTATTAAAAAATCCTATAATCTCATTACTTTAAAAAATTAACTTTCCAATAGGTTTAATTTTTACTAAATCTGTAGCGATTAGATTTAAAGAATGTACTGCACATCGAATGTTTAAAATATGTGGATATTTTTGATTAATTATTTGTTGTGCAACTCTAACATTACTACCTCCATCAGTTATGATTCCAGCAAATTTATTTACTCCTATATTAATTATAATATTTTCGATTTTATTTGCAATAAAGATCTCTGTTTATAAAATTTTTGAATAATCTTTAAGTGCAATAAGATATTCATGCCGATCTGTGGTTGAAACTATGTAATTATAGATTGAATTTCCAGTTGGTGATGACCATCCGTCAAGAGCAAGTGTTAAAAAATTACATTTTTTTAATTCAGCATCAATCTTAAGATTAATTCTTGCAACTTCCTGTTCTAATAACCTATTAGAAAGTGTTATTCGACTAGGTAAATCATATAACAAATTAAGATGCTTGAATAAATCAATCATAAATGGATTATTAATAATATTAAATGAAGAGCCTGTCATGACCCAAGCTTTTAAAATAGCTTTGTCGATTTCATTTTGCTTATATTGTGGCAAGTTATGTTGATTTAATTGTCTTTGATTTGAACTTTTTATTCGCTTATAATTAACAATTTTGGTTGAAAGCGATTCTTGCCAATATGTTTTTATATCTATAGGAACATCAGGACAGATATTCGCAAGATGGGCTTCCATTTCTCCAGGGCATCCACAACTCCAATACTTTGAACAATAATAACAAGTTGCACTACAGTCACCAACAACATTGCTTGCAATATAATAATCCCAAATCTTTTCTCTTGGTCAACCTACACTTTTTCATTTCAATGTTTTATTTTGTTCTACTAAACATGTATCAGGTTGAGTTAACTGGTTTGACATCTTTGAAGATAAATTTGTAAAAGTCGATTCATCAATCATAAAATTGAAGATATTTATTATGGCATAATTTTAATCACTATTACAATCAATACCATTGTTTAAACTGATTATATAATAATTTTATTAAATTATGTAATTTTATGTAATTTATATAATTTTCGCTTTAATAATTCTAAATTTAATTATGATATACTATAATCTTTATAATTATCAAAACAATAATATTTTCAAAAAATAAAATTATTTTAGCAATTAAATTTAATTAAGTTTACATTCATAGTGTTGACAACTTATCTACTTTACTAAGTTATTACACTTCTAACAATAAACTTAATAAAAACCAAATGAAAATAAGAGCCAAAAAATTAGTACATTCTATAGCAAGATTATTTAATACTAATAAGATAACAGATGCTCAAATATCATATACATATAAACAATATATATATAGTACCAAAGTTGGTATATATGCTTTAAGTATTAAGGCTCTTAAAAAGAGCAATAGATACTATACAAGAGTTTATAATAAACATAAGTTAGGAATTGCAAGAACAATAAGTAATAGTATAATTATTTATAAAAACTTAGACAATTGCAATGCATTATAGAATTATTTGCTAATTAAACAAATTACAAGTCTGCATGTATAAATCAATTTAGCAAGCCTTAAAGAAAAACTAATAAGAATTAAAATAAACCAAGGGCTGTTACAGTTAGATGTAACAGAAACAAACTGGCAGAAAGCTCAATAAAAATATGTAGCAGTTTATAAAAAAACAAAAAGAATTTACAAATAAGGGTCCAGAAAGTGAAAATAATTACAAATATAGGCTCAAATTAAAAATAATTACATATGAGGGCCTAATTTTTAAAAAATATTACATGTAGAGGCCTAAGTTAATTAATTAATGAATAAAAAAACATGATCACAAAACTATTGTGCCACAAAGTACTCTGATCATTTGACTTATAACAACAATAATATTACAATTATAAGATTATTGATAGGCATTTATAGTTATCTAGATATCAATTATTAGATAAAAAAAATAAATGAAGTGCTGGCTACAATTATTTTTGCTTAAATATTGTATAAAAATAATGTTAACTAGTACAATTATTTATAAGATGATGAAATTTCAATAGAGTAGCTTTCAAGAGCAAAACAATTACTTTCATATTAGTAAATGATATTTCAATTTATAGTGCTTTATTTAATATTATAGTGGTTTGTTATAACAATAACTGATTTTATACAAGAAAATAAAATTTAAAAAAATTTTATTTTTCATTTATAATTACTAATTTACAATTGATCATTATATTTATCAATGCTTATATTCTTATTAAGCCATAGGATTGAATAATGTCACTATTATTTTGGGCCCTTATATATAATATTTTTTAAAAATTAGACTCTTTTATATAATTATTTTTAATTTGGGCTCATATTTGTAATTATTTTCACTTTCTGAGCCCTTATTTGTAAATTACCCAAAAAACAATTTGGCATGTTAGTTGATGCTTAAAGCTAAAGTCTTACAAATAATACTCAATTTTAATAATATAAATATAAGAAATGCAACTAAAAAACTAAGAATTGCAAATATATTAGAAGGCAAGTTTACATTACAAGTAGCCTTAGCATTAAAGAAGCTTAATATATTCTTAATAAACCAGCTTATTAATAAAGAAGACAACAGAATAATTTTATAGCAGTAGCTCAAATTACTAAAAAAAAAATTAAGCAAAAGAAGATTAGCAAAATAATTTAAAAAAGTTAAAGAAATTATACTAGAAAACAAAAGCAGTAGATAACTCAAATCAGAATTTATGCTGCTAGAAAAAAATAAAGAAGTATCATTACAAATAATCTTAAATAGATGCTCAAATAATAACAGAAAAAAAGAATAGATTATATTCAAATTATCTAGAAGAAAAGAAAAAAAAACTTAATAGTTAAAAAAATAGTTATAAATACATTTAAAAAGGTGCTTACAGAGCATTAAAAAACAAAATCACAGAAAAACAAAATGGGTCAATTTTGAAAAAATGCAGTAGTTGCAACTTAGATTAAATCGAAGAATAGAAAAGTTGTAAAAGGTAGAATAATAGAAAAGAGATTTAAAGTTTTTTGTCAAGACTTATTAGTAAGAAAAAAAAGTCCAAACTCAAGATAGAACAAGAAATAATAAGTGAATTGGAATATAATAAGTTAACCAAATCAACAAACAAAAAGTCTAGTTAAAGAAATAGTATATGAAGATCTAAATATAGAACTTATTAAGAAACAACAACTTAGTCAGATGCTTAAAGAAAAGTTAATTTATAAAAACCAAAAAAAACAAACTAGAAGACAATAAAGAGCTAATTTTTTATACAAATGGTTTATTTAAAAAAGTAATAACAAAAAATTCAGTAAAGAGTAATTGTATAAAAGCAGAATAGATGCAAATAGATATTAAAGAAGAAAAAGTAATTGATAAGAATGTAATAAATATATGAAACTGGACTTCATCAACAAAAACATAGTTACTTGCAATTTGGTATATGCTTTTAATAACATCAAGAAAGAAAAAAATCAAGATTTATACTAACAGTGCAGTAGCAATAGTGGGTCTTAATAAGAAAAAAAGTTAAAGTCAAGCAAATATTGAATCAAGAAAAAGAACTATAATTTTAAGAAAAGTATATTAAAATTATTTAGTTTAAAAGAATTAGAATTAGACTTGGTTAAAATAAAAAAGCATAGTTATAACAAATGGAATAATAGAACAAATAAATTAGCAAAAGAAAGGAGTAATATAGAGAATTCTAATAAAATAATAAAAGCATTACTTTCAAATTTAAATGTTTCACTTTGCTGAAAAAATTTAGTAATCAAAAAACCAATAAAAAAGTTTATTAAAAATGTGCTAGACCTTAAGATCAGAGCGAAATAAAGATTTATATTATTAATTCAAAAAACAAAACCAAATATAAAAAAAGAAAAACATGATTAGTTAACATTGTAGCAAAACATTAAAGGTCAGATTGGAACCAGATGCACAAGTATAAAGAGGAATAAAAAATTAGCAACATTAATTAAATGCATAAATAAAAAGATATCTGTACTCAAGACTTTGGCACAAAGATGTTCAGATTTATATAAAAATTTGATTTATATACTTTGTAATAAAGATTGTAAAGAGGATTAAGACCATTTAGCAACATGCAGAGAGCATAAAAAAGGATTTGATAGTATAGAAAATATAGCAATTAATTTGGCATAAATGATATTTGCAAAAGAAATTTATAAAAAGACAAGTAAAGAAAAACTTAGATAGCTTTTATAATGAACCTTAAAAGAAGAAAGATCAGCAAGCAGATTTAGAATTATCAAAGAGCTAATATAAGAAAAAGCTAAGAAGATGTTATAAGATATTACACAATTTTTAAAGAAAGCCAAGAATTTTATAATAGTGTTTACAAATGTAGTATAAAATAGTTTTTTTTAAAAATATATAGAAAAAATATTGTAATATTATTGCCAATTAGAAAAAATTAGTAAAAATTAATACTACAAGTAAAAAGAAAAATAATAACAAAAAACAAAGTTTTCTAAACAAAAAAGCACAAAAAGAAGAAAAAGATACAAATATAGATGAACAAAATCAAGATATAAAAAAAAAAATTAAGAAGGACAAAGTTCAAATTTAGAAAACATAACTTAGTTTAATTTTTAGTTTCATAAATAGAAATGTAAAACCTTTTTTTTAGAGTTTTACTAACTAGTTTAGTATAGTCCTATGCCAGAAATAATTTATTGCCTATGTGGCAGACCACTTCTAAGCATTCATAGAAGTAGCCAGAAGATATCAAACTAAAATTTAAGCCAACTTTGTATAGTATATATACAAGAATCTTAATAAAAGTGATTGGCAAGACTGTCTAAATTATAAAAAAAAAATTAAAAATTGTAAAATTGTAATATATTAAAATTAACATAATTAGCAAGATTTGAACTTTTTGGTTTAGCAAAATAGTTTAATAACAATATTATTTATAAATATTAAAAACTATAATTATAATGTTAGCTTTAAGTATAATATAAGATTAAGTCAATAGAAATTAAACAAATTTTTTTTAAGTAAATTTTTTTGGAACTTTAACCAACAATAACTTAGCAAAAACTTTATCAAAATTAATAAAAGTTTTTTTAAAATAAATATTATCAATTGTAGTTTTATTTAAAAAAATTTTTATTAAATTTGATAAAACTTTTGTTAAGTTATTGTTGTTTAAAGTTTTAAAAAAATTTTAATAAAAACAATTTGCTTAATTTCTATTGACTTACCTCTATATACAAAATATGTAACAGAATGATATAAATATTATTAAAAGTAATTACAAAAAATTAACAATTTGTATTAAGTTTATATAATTTAGATTAAATAATAAAATAACTTTGTAGGGGTGTGGTGATCTAGTGAAGTGGTCAGGTTGTCAACCCCCAAGTGGTAGGTTGGGTGTTCAAATCCCATCGATGGCGAAAATTTGGATAATCACCTATGTAATATTCGTATT